TGGTCTGTATGTCCGATTAATGCAACCTCATTTTGGTAAGGCTTTGCGTCAGCATCGGCTTGTTTAGGATGGGAGTATGTGATGTGAGTAATCGCTCCTAATGTTGCTTCATGCGCACAGTTTCATTTTCTGCTTGAATTGAATTGCTGGTGGCTTCTGTTCCTGAAGGATTTTTCCAAGAATGTCTGGTGGAAGTTATGGGTAGCAATGGGAATGATGAAGCTTGGATTAGCAATCGGCATTGGTAGGCATAGGAAGAGAATACTGTAGGAAGATAGATGTGTAGAATTTAAATACAGGATTTTGGAGTTTGGTTGGTTTGTGGATTTGGGCTGGATTCTTTTGAGGCAAGCAGCTTAGACCGAGGGTGTTTTGTATCCGTGGTATTGATTTGTTTGCCAAGAGAGGGTGGAATCAACACTAATTCTGCTGATGTGACTCTTTTATTGGACTCCCTTTTCACTCTCCCTAACTCAAGCGTGGATAATGAACTTATTCATAACTGTAATTTTGTTCTTCAATTTGTGAAAATTTGAGAAAATTCAGATCGAAGAGTTGTAACCCCTGTATATATATAGTGGTAGTTTTGAAAGCATTCCTTTTGCTGCTTGAATCCCATGAGTGTTTTTCCCCCCAGATATAATGGATGCAAATTTTCAAGTGTATTTGCCAAGAATTTAACTACATTCTTATAATCTTCCAATCTTGTTTCAACCCCTTTTACATGTATACAGAATGAGAATGGACAAAGTTCAGTGCGCATCGTTGTCCCGTCTAGGCATAGGAGTTAATAGAGCCTTTAATTAATTCACACTATGTGAATAATGACTTAAGTTGGAAGCATGAGTTTCAGGGTACCATTATGTAGTTCTCAATGATCCTGAAAGTCTTTATACTCATGCATCTTGATAAAGTGGATAGACTTAATGGATGGGATACCGTCAGAGATTTTCTATTAGTATAAAAAAATGATCTCGTTCACTTGCAAATGTTTCTTTGTTTTTTACTTGATATATATTTCAAGTTTAATATTAGGAAAATTAGAACATGTATAGGCTCGCATTGTTCATAACATTTCAGAGGTCAAGGAGCTGATCCTGTACCCTTCTCCATCGCATTCCATTGGCTCCCACAATTAACGTGTAGCACCTTCCTGGGTGCAGGTTTTTAGCAGTCTTAGGTCCACCACATGATGTCATTATATAGAAGTAATATCAAATTCCATGTCTCTAATTACGATTTTCCTGATATTTCTCCACAATGTGTAATGCAGTTTCAAAATTTCACAAGATTGTGATTTTGCTTGCTCAACAAAAAGAAATAGACTAACATCTGCCCCAAAGAGCTGCTATAGATTACTCTATTAACTAATTGAATCCAGAAACATTTGTAGTCTTTACAACCATAATAGTCTATGCTATCATTCGCAGGCTTATAGCCTAAACATTTTATTAAAAAAATTAGTTACACACTTGGATTTCCAATTATATATATGTATTTTTTGGTGTGGACATAATTAGAGTGGATCCTCTTTCTAAGATTTTATATAATTTGGTTATGTGAAAATTTTGTGTTTAATTTACAAAGGGATCCAATTAAAACTTATAAAAGAGAAAGAAAGACATAAATTTTTTGCATATGATATGAAATTTTAACCTGAGTTGATCTATTCCCATTTGAATAATGAATTTTGAAATTTCAGAAAAAAATTGAAAGGAAATTAAATTGCATTTATTGAAATTTCCTTCATTTATAATTTCTTTTTCTTTGATAACTATCTATGAATGGGATTATCTCAAGATTCTCAAGTCTCAACCTACAATTCGGTTTTGATATTTGATATTTAATAATGTGATTAAATGGTGAGGTTACCAACAATACACTCTAATTTTTTTCAAACGGTATGGTTCTATTATCTTTATTTTTTTATGTATTTTTTTAAATATTTTTGTAACTGAATAAAATTGTAATAAATAATTTAAATTTAACTCATCAGAATAAAATTTACATAATAAATAAAATTGTACCATTAATAGCATACTAATTAATTAATAATTTTATCTCTTAAAATATAAATTCATTTTAAAAATAAAATAAAATAAGATTAGGCTAATTTACTTTATAAGGAAATAACTTTATCTCATATCACATACATTCATTTTTAAAATAAAAATAAAATAAAATGATCATTTACATTTAAAGAGATAATTTTGTGGGAAATCATTTTCTTATGTAATAGGAGATAGTTTTCTCATGTTGTGAGACATCGAAATTCGTGCTATCTTTTTAGTTTTTTCTTCTTTTTTAGTAAGTGGTGGGCCCCACCACTTATTGTGTCTATGACATGAGAGATGATATCTCATGTGACATGAGAAAAGAGAAGCCCTAATTTTATATATGTGATAGATTCAGTCTAAAAATAGAATAAAATGAGATTAGATAAATTTTTAAATTATATTAATTAATTTTCCCTAAGATAATGAACCCCAATTGTACCTTAAAAAGGACAAAACAATAATGAGTTGTTGTACCTTGGTACCGTACCCCAATAATAATACTTTTGATTATTTAAAAAATTAACTTAATAATCAGTTTAATTAATTAAAGAAATATTTACTGCTGATTAAATTTTTTACCAAAAATTATGCTCAATAGAATTTTAAATATAAAAATAAATAATTCAAACCGAGACTAAATCTTTTTTGAGTTGTTATTATAGTAAAGTTATTATATCTAATTTAGTTGAAATCGTGAATTCACTTTGAATTTCTTAGGGATCACAAATAGTCTTTTTATTTGCTAGGGACTAAAGTGGGTATCATAAAATTTGTCAAGGACAAAAAAAAGTATTTACTCTTACTTTAAATATTTCTTTTTTAATAACAAATTACAAAAATGTAGTTGTTTTAAAATTATTTATACAAGTATAGCACCCAAACACGCCCACATGGGCGTGAGCTAGGAGAGAATATTTAGTGATACGGACACATGTGTGCAGGGAAGAGAGAGTGAGAGAGAAAGAGAGGAGAGAGGAAAGAGGAGAGAGAAGGGGAAAGAAGGGGGACCACTCAATATTTTTTCGTGAGTTAGAAGATAGAGACACGCCCATCTGAGAGAGACACATCCACATGGGGCGTGTTTCACTAGATGTTGACACATGGCACAAAAATTCAACAATTTACCCGTAAAACTTTGGAAGTCCATAACTTTTGACTTGGGTGTCCGAATTAACTAAAAAGTTTTTTGATTTCACATAATTTTTCGAGATCTACGCAATAACACATCATTTGACATATTTTGTCTTTCACAAAAAAATTCAAATTTATAAAAAAGATACTATAAGAACGTTTAAACTCAGATTAATAAAGAGAAAAGTATTGTCATGATTAGAAATATTCACAGTAAAGATCCTTATGCTTATGGTACCATTACTGTGAATTGAAATTCTTAGCTTCTTGTATTTTTTCTCTTCACTATTTTTTATTTTTCTCTACACGTCACAGGAGAACAAAAAAAGATAACAAAAGGAAAAATGAAACGAAAAAAAAAAACATGGCCGTGTTTCTTTTATTCTTATATTTTCTGTGCTTTTAGATAGATGGACATGGTGTCCTCTACCGTTATCCATGCAAGGAATATCATCAACTACACCATAAATCAAAATAGTAACAGAATCTTTATGACAATTTATTCGAGGAATTAATAAGATAATTTTTGATGCGGTCAATAGCTAAAATATTGCTTAGTGTAAAATTGATGTTTCTACTTCAGTTGACGAATTGTATTCTAGATATCTAACATTGTTAGTCCAATGCAGAAAAATCTACAAAAAAGATTAATTATTTAACTATGGGTGATAATGATTCGGGTAGTTTTCTCATAATTGATGGCTACATATTGACCATCCAAAAATGGAGATGAATTTAGAAGCATTAGAAATAGATTAATTAATTAACACGTGTGTGTGTAATATACTACAAAATTTAAAAAATATGCAAAATGGAGCACAAGGAAACATTTTTTGGAAAATATTTTTGACGGACTTGTCTCCTATAACTAAAATTTCAATTTGCAACAATGGTACCATAGTCATAAGAATTTTTATTAGGAATGTTTATAATCATGAGAGTGGTTTTCTCTTTATTAACATAAGTTTAAATATTCTTACAGTATCAATGTTGTAAATTTGAACTTTTTTTGTGAGAGACAAAATATGTTAAATTGGATGTCATTGCTATATCTCAAAAATTAGTGTGGAATCAATTTTTTTTTACCTAATTCAGACACCCGAGTCAAAAGTTATGGACTTCTAACGTTTTACGGGTAAATTGTTGACTTTTTGTGTCACGTGTCAATATTTGGTTAAACAAGCCCCATTGGGGCATGTCTCTCTCCTAAAACACACTTTCTCCATCAGGCTACGCTTGTGTGTGGCATGTTTGAGTGTTATATATTTGTAATTAAATTCAAAACGACTATATTTTCATGATTTTTTATTAAAACAATAATATTTAATTTTTTTTTCCGGAGTATATCTATCATTTCCTATGTCTTACCATTATATTATGAAACTGAAATCAAGCAGTGCACTCAGGCATTGAAAAACAATTAAACATGGTCTGTTCTATTCGTACTTAAATGTTAGGCTACCCGGCACTGTCGCTGGTGCTAAAAATATAGCACAATGATCAAGTAATGCCCTCTGTATGATTCGTTTGATCTCCCATTTCAGCTGCAGCTACATCACATCACAGCCACATACATGGCAAAACTATGACCAAGTCACATACAAGTGGCTCCATGAAGACTCTACTCCTTAGTCCTTAAAGGCTTCACATATTTGCACACAGTCTTATACTGACCCTTTCCTTTGGCGTTTATTTTGGTATTTAAAAAGCAAACAAATCTCTCACTTTTTTCCTTCACTTTTAACCAAATTATAGCAAAGAAAAATAATAGAGCACATTGGTATTCTTCTGTTTCTGATTATTACTAAGCTAATGGCAATCTATAGAATTGCAATTGGGTCTCCCGGAGAGGCTGGCCAACCTGATGCAATTAGAGCAGCCTTTGCAGAATTCTTCTCCATGATCATTTTTGTTTTTGCTGGTCAAGGATCTGGCATGGCTTACAGTGAGCACTCTACATTATTCTTTTCTCTCAAAAAATGTGTGTTAGAAATTATCTTTAATCACCAAGCACGTGGATTAACTGATAAGGAGTTATTTCAGCTTAATTAATAGTCTCGAATTCGAGTTCTGGTAGGGAGAACTTTGTTGTCCTTGTGGTCCCTCGACATGATTAGTCGATTAATCAATGAAATTCTTTATCCCATTTATAGTTAAATTGTAGTTTAGAATAATTTAAAGAAAAGTGTTACACCCAATGAGCTTGAAATTTGATTGGCACAAGCCTAATAAGTGTTATTAAGACATAGTGGTAGGAATCACTCATGCAAGTTGATTATTTATGGCAGGCAAACTTACCAACAATGGACCCGCAACACCTGCTGGTCTCATAGCTGCATCATTATCTCATGCATTTGGGCTTTTTGTGGCTGTTTCTGTTGGTGCAAACATTTCTGGGGGTCATGTGAACCCTGCTGTCACATTTGGTGCCTTCATAGGAGGAAACATAACCCTGTTGAGAAGCATTTTGTATTGGATTGCTCAGTTGCTTGGTTCAGTTGTTGCTTGTATTCTTCTCAAGTCTGCTACTGGTGGAATGGTAACCATTAAACACTTAAAATTGGTTACAAATTTTGCACTTACATTCATGATTGAAACTCTCTTATATTATAATAATTTGTACATTGCAGGAAACATCAGCCTTTTCTATATCCTCTGATTTATCCATATGGAATGCATTAGTTTTTGAAATTGTGATGACTTTTGGGTTGGTATACACAGTTTATGCCACAGCAGTAGACCCAAAGAAAGGGAATGTGGGCATTGTTGCCCCAATTGCAATTGGTGTTATTGTGGGTGCCAATATCTTAGCTGGTGGTGCTTTTGATGGTGCATCCATGAACCCAGCTGTGTCCTTTGGCCCAGCTGTAGTTAGCTGGACTTGGACTAATCACTGGGTCTATTGGGTTGGCCCATTTGTTGGTGCAACAATTGCTGCCATTATCTATGATAATATTTTCATTGGTGATGATGGTCATGAACCCCTTTCAAGCAATAGCTTCTAGATTTTTTCTTTTTAAATTAATGTGAGCTTGTCTGTCATCTCCCTATTGAGGAGTGAATAAAATTTATTCAATGTTTCAGCTCCTTTATAGATGGTTAGGAATTAAAAAGATTTTGAGTACTCTATATTTGTATCTTAGACATTAAGATTTCTATTTCTTTTAATGTAATAGAGAAAAACAAGGAAATTTCTAGATGTAATTTTTGCTTGCTAAAACAATGAATATGTCCTTTTTTGACTGAGCAATCTTTTTCTTTTTTAATTTTTTTTTTTTGGTATTCCCTTTATTAGCCTGGTCATGTTTGTGTAACAAAATGCATCACTGGATTCAAAATATAAGAGCATAGAAGAATGAGGGTAGAGTGAATTAACAAGAAGTATATTTTTGGTACAAAACTAAACAACAAACTTTTTTATTGCCGGTAAAGTCAACTATTAATAATTTAATATAGGGATGATGTGTCTGTTACAAATATAAAATTTATTTGCTTTATTGAAACAAAATAATTACTGCTAAAAATATAAGGGATTTATTAGTCTCTTTTTACATAAGATAGTTATCTTATGTTATAGAGATAAAATGGATGGGTCCCACCATTACAAGAAAAAAGAAAAGAAATGAAAAGTGAGGTGTAAAAATCAAAGTGAGAGAACATGAGAGAAATTATCTTATACGAAAGGAGAATAATATTTTCCAAAATATAATACTTGAAGTCAAACAAGTAAATAAGTTAGGTCAAGGAGTAATTAGGTTATGTTTGAAAATGATATTTGAAGTGTAACTTTTTTTTTTTTTTTTTAAATTGATTAGTTTAAATAACTTTGCCCCCCAACACACACACAAAGACAAAGGTTATATAATATTTTTTTTAGAACAGTATCCGTTTACAAACTTTTTTTGTAATTATACTAATGTAGGACCGGTCGTACACTGTGTGATTAATGTAGAACCGGTCTTACATAGTGTAGTTTGTAAGAGTTTGTAAATATAATCTGCACCTATTTTTTTTACCCGTAATTATTTTAATTTTCTTAAGAATGACCCCACAAGCTATCATCTGCTATGCCGACTGCCGTAGCTACTATCAATACATCACAAGTCACAAGTCATTTTATTATGGGCAACAATTCAGCCAATAAACGTAAATATGAAATGCATTCTAGAAGAGAAAAAGAATGGCTCAAAGTCCACTCCTTCCATCAGCAAATTTGTTACTACGTCTCAATCTATCTACTTTTATAATATCACAACGTCAGAACCGGACAGCAGTAAAAACATTTACTCAAGAAAGCTAGTTTTCGTAAGAA